TATATATATATATATAGGCCTATTTCTCCATTTATGAATATAACAATACACAATATATACATACATATATATTCAAATGTTTCCCTTTTATGAATTGCCGATGCAGTTTAAGTTGGTAACTCCAATTTGGGTTTAACCATAAGTGCCGAACTCCCTTGTGGATGGATTTGAACAAAATTTGTGTCCTCTCCATCTACATCTTTTGATATTTCCTCCTCCTTTTTTTTTTTTTTTAAATTTTCATAATGCCATAATTTGTGTAGAAAATGTTTACCTTTGTCTTTATAGTTTGCATTTTTATGAATTGCCGATACTGATAGTGGTCATTTTTGAGGAGAAAAGATATTTGACCATTGCTCTTATTGTGACAGTATTAATTATTATTCAAATGTTATTAAGCCAAGTTTGGACTGCCCTGCATTACTTAAATATGCTGTTGGCTTTTTTGACTGCTGTTGGTGCTTACTTCCGGCACTTCTCAATCAATCACTAGATCTTATGAAGATTATGAACATTTAAGCACTCAGACCTCTATATTTGCCTCCTTGCCATTTCTTCTTAGATTTGTGAAACTGCTATATTTTGGTATTCCCTAGATTCTAGACTCGGATGCTTCTTCACAAATGGCTGTAATATCCAATTTTCTATTTGCTTTTTGTTTCTTATCTTCCATCTGTAATTGTTGCTGATGGATTCTTCTCGTGTTTTTGATGTATGACATGCATCTCTGCTCTTGGCTTCCATCTCGTATGTTCTTATATATTCTCAAATTTTCTATTATTTTATTTGCCGTTCACTATCTTACGAAGCTGACAACTGCTCTGTAACAATTTATACATTTCATCGTGTATTTCATGCTCTTAATATGAAGAAAAGTTGGTGAGTTATTAAAGCTGGTGGAATATGCTATTTAAGAGCCGAGGCCTCCTTTGCCTTGAATTCCAAAGTCACTCTGTATTATTGGTATTATTATTTGCGTTTGATTTGCATCCACCTTCTTATTTAAACGTAATGTAATGTTTTTGAGATAAGGTAAGCATCATCAATTGCTTTTTCCATATTCCACACCAGGTTTAGTAGTGTCGTAAAAATTAATAGAGTTAGACATAGAATTTTAGCCCTTAGGATTATTGTTGATAATAAGATTTTTAATTTTATAAGTGCTTATGATATTCAAGTAGGTTTAAATATAGGTATTAAAAATAAATCCTGGAATGACTTAGAAGACTTAATACAAATGATACCTCTTGAAGAAATAAATTTTATTGAAGTAGATTTAATTGTACATGTCGGTAGAGTGACAGAGGATTGTGATTGATGAAGAAGGTAGAGCTATATTAGATTTTGCTTTAGGGTATGATTTTGTTATTGCTAATACTTTATCCAAGAAAAGATTATTACTTATAAGAATGGATCTAATAAAACACAATTTGATTGTTTTCTTTTGAGAAGAAGAGATCGTCAAGATTGTAAATATTGTAAAGTCATTTCAAGTGAAGATTTTAGTACTCAATATTGATTATTACTTATAAATTTTATGATTAAGAGTTGTAAAATAAAGAATAATAGGAATTATTATCGTAGAAGTAGATGAGGTACCTAAAAGACAAAAATAAAATTATTTTTATGAGTAAAATTGAAGATATCAAAATTTGGGATGTTCGTGAGGAAACAAATTTTATGTGAGATAAAATAACAAACATTATTAAACAAGTTGCAAAAGCTATATTTGGAGAATTAAAAGAAAAAAAAAATTAATAAAAATAGTTGGTGGTGGAATAATAATGTGCAAGAAAAGTTAAAATATAAGAAATCATATTATAAAAATTGGTTTAAATGTAAATGCTTAGAGATCTAGGAAAAATATCAAACGACCCATAGGGATTCTAAGAGAATAATCTATAACACTAAAAATTCTGATTTTAGTGATCATTATAATAGATTAGTACTAAAGAGGGTGAAAAATATATGTATAAACCAACCAAACAAAGATAAAAGAAAAATAAAGACTTAACTTAAGTAAAGTATATTAAAGATGAAAATTAAAAAGTTCTTTTCTTAAAAAAGATATTCAAAAATGGTGGGTGAGTTATTTTGATAAACATTTTGATGAAGTTTCAGAA